GACATAATTCATTACTTCCATCGCGTGGAAATCCATACATCAACGCAACGCAACATACCCGCTCATGGCTTGCGTACACACATAAGTATCGGCTATAAACTACCCTCTTAATAGACTATAAAGATCGAACATCGAATGTTGACGTACCCCGTTGGGAAGTGCAATGTACGTGGTTTTTAAGGTGTCGCATACTCAGAGGTCTTGGGTTCACCCCGGTGGGGCAAATCATTGTATGATAAAAACGAGCATCTGTGCCTAAGTTTTGGTTGTTAACAAATATGAATTCAAAATCTAATCTAATAAATTCTAATCTATGCATCATCATTATGCATTTCTAGGCGTTAGCCCATAACACAAGCCTTTCAATGCCCATTATAAGGCTAGGCTAATTGGTGTGAAGTGTTGACTCGATCACTACGGTTGTTCTACCGTAATATATAATACATTTCAAAAGAAAAAGGAATATCGAAACAATTAATGTTTGAAAAAATTTAGTGCAGGTAAGTTGATAAATTGGGAGCTCCATAAATAATTCTTAAATAAATTTAATGGTATCGCATGCCATTCAAAAGCTTGTTTATCTAAATCCAATATATATCAAACTCCAATCTCAAGTGCAGTACACTATAAATATGTAAAGAATTCTAAGTTTTCTGCAATTTAAGGACTATCTGCCAGATAAATAGAAGATAACATATTTTCTCTTGAAAATAACAAAAGTAAACCAAATGGGTTGCTCACTCTTTTGATCGCGTAATGAGAGAAACTTGCAATATTAGAAATGTCGTGTATGTGGTGTGTGAGGTGGCCAACATGATCATTTTGATATATAAGTGGTGCTAGTTACTGAAGAAAGATTGCACGATCTACCAAATTCTTGAAAGGTTTTGAAGATCATTGTATGCAATTATCCCCTTTATGTTATTTTAGTAAAAATTACTAAAAACTGTTCTTAATATTAAACTTACGCTTTCTAACCTTGCCACGACTGTCTGGAATAAATATACTTCAAACCCTACGCATAGTACATGCACACCTCATGTAAGCTGTGTAAATCTTATAAATAACTAAATCTTTATTTAGTATTAAGTAATACATATAAATGACTCAGATCTAAGAACTGAAAAACAAAAGAAAAATTACAATCAATTAATTATAGATGGATGCCAGGATGGCAAATGAATTTCATAAAATCTGGTCTGAACTTCGTAATAGCATAATTTATCACGGCAACCCAGCAACAATATAAAAACTATACCTGAGAATTTCGTTGTAAAAACGTAAACTTCAGAAGTTGATCGGTTTCAACATTTTTGTCATTCCGTGGGGTTGTATCAACCACTCCCTACTTCTAACAATAATTATGAATTCACTGCAATCGACCTTGCAATCACTTCCCGCCAATCTAATATGAAAGTTTTGGAAGTATAGTTGAAGAACACGGCACGATATGCTAGCACTACGCTTTTCAACATATTCTACAAAGAGCGACAGCTCTGTCTTAAACAGCTATGAGATGGCTCGGAAACGCTGGCTTGCGTGGTTGCATTGGTCTAGGAACAAGAATGTTTATCGGAATAATCCCGCAAGTTGTGGACTCTGCTCTGAACTAACACGATTTTTGAGAGACTTATTTTTAACTCGTGACTTATCTTAAAATAAGTACCATTATTTTAAATAAGTCAGTAGTTTTTACATGATATACCAATGGATGATAAGTCTAATTACCTAAGCTCACCTGTCTTGGCAAACACATATATTGAAGTCGATTGTTTTTAAAGAATCGGTCCGTAACCTACTATTCTGTGTCTATAAGTTAACTTATTTCCTTTTCTTCAATAATGTACTCGTTACATCATAATGATCTGTTTCAAATACTTCGTCATATATGTTGTTCTGAACGTCATACAGTAATTATGCTGCGTATTATTTGGTTCAGCATGTGGTACACATGACTTGTTCCTACTTCAAATTATCCCGAATCATTGTATTTGTACCGACGAAGATTAGTTAAGCCTTGTTTTGGTTCAAAACAGGTGAAAGTAGTTAAAGACAATCCGATTGGTGACTTGTACCGAATAATGGTAATCGTAAGTGGGACCCTGATTTTTGGTACTTAAGTAAAAAGTACAGTCTTGTAAAATGTAAGACTCAGTATCGAACAACTTTACATCTTTTTCTCGCGTTCGTACGTACGCCTTATTTGTGATATACAAAGATACAAATGAATGCACACAAGGAAGCGTCCGGTCATTAACAAAGCAAATATATGTAGAAGTATATATATATATACTTCGGAAGTTTTAAGCAAAGGAATATAGCGATCAGCTAATACATATGTTAAAGCAGCTTCGTAAGCTTGAAGAAATTAAAGGCGTGATTCAAATAATATTATTTGATTCATTTTTAAGCTTACTCGTTTCTTTATACAGTTTCATATAATCTGATAAATGTTAATATTTAAATTTATCATAAATTGTCACATTGGCGTATATATCTATGTACGTGGCGATCACCAGGCGATAACAAACAGGTCTCAATATAAAGCTTTCAGTGACGGTCAAGTAGTTTAATAGCAGCATTTTACCTGAAATAAAATGCATATTAAAATACTTACCTCACTGAAAGCTTTCACTTTAAATTCTGCCTGGTGAAATAATTGAGCCAATGAGTTAATATGGCGCTGTCAAAACTTAGGAAAACAAAAATGGCCGCGCTTCTGCCAGGTGTCGCCACTGGACCGGATATAAGGTGAATAAAAGTACGGAAACTGATGGTAATTCGACGGGAAACGGAAGTGCTATCTCAATATAAAGCTTTCAGTGAGGTAAGTATTTTAATATGCATTTTATTTCAGGTAAAATGCTGCTATCAAATCCAACAATTTAACAAAACAAATATGAATAGCATTATGATTACCTTAAAGATACAAACTTAATAATCTTGAGTCAATAGACATTGAGCCCGCTCCTTTAAATTATTTATAACTGGCATAGCACCACTTTGTTCTCGTTTGGGTTGTTAATGTTTTCGTAAAGTTATAGTTTCAACACTTCGATTATAATAGATTTTGGAATGTGATGTCACGAAATTTAGGACCCCTCCCAGCCCCTTGTCACACGATGTCACACTTCATCGACCCCCTCCCTCCCCCTTAACGTGTGACGTAATTTATGGATGGCCCCTATGCAATAATTTTTTCAATCATATAAATAGCAACTGCTAAAATATTTAGTTAAAGAAAATAAAAAAAATCTCTACAAACATTTGAGATTAAAAATTGCAGCAGGCTACATAAAGGCTAAACTATAAAATCTCAATACTATATTCCTAAAATATTCCAGGACTAAGTTTAAAAATTTGTTACAAAGTTACATATATACTTCTACTTACAGGGACCCAACTCCAATAACATCATATTTAATTCCTGTAATTTGGCAGCCGATACATATTCAAAGCACCAACCTCATGGAGACAGAGCCTGACATAAAGGCTGTCAAAGGGATGTTTCTCCACAAGACTTCGAATATAAATTACCCATTGGCTGATGACAGAATTGTCTTCTGGGATCACATTTATCATACATTCTATAGATTAAATATTGGTTTCAAAAATTAAAGCCAATAAATCAGTAGTAAATGCGTAGATTATGTATTGTGTATTATCTGTATAAATAAGGCAACCGTTACTGACTGATCAATCAACGCACAGCTCAAACCACAGAACCGATTGTTCAAAAATTTGGAAAACATATATTTTCTTTTTTTTCATTTTATTACGTTACTTTATTAAATTATTGGTTTTTATTTATTTATTTGACATAATAACTGCTATAAGGTGCCACCACTTTTAAACACTGAGACCTTTATGTGAAAAACTGGCAAAGATCAAACCAGTCAGAATAATACTATTATAAATACTACATAATCTAAAATGACCAGACAAAAAACCCCATTCTAAGTTTTTTGTCTGGTTATATTTTTTTTATGTGATAGTAGTTGAATTTTTACTTTGATTAAAGATCATTTACTGCATGGTCAATCTTTTAAGTACATATTGTGAATTTCTTATTAAACAGGAATATTTCAACTGGCAAAAATAAACACAACTATTCTAATAAGAAATCAGAACAACTGGTAGTACTGTAGATCAAAACCATGTACACAATAGCTCGGAATACCATTTGAACACGAGACAAAATCAACATACCAGACGAAAATAAGTCGTTCAGAGTTCTTCAAACTAAACTACATTTGAAATACTCCACTTATATTTTACAAATACTTTAAATCGTTAAATTTGAAGCGGATACGGTGAAAAATATCAACGTTGTCAAAAATAAATAATACCGTTATGTACCTGATCAAACGGCGCTCCTAGCAGCAAGTCACCTATTTCAACGAGTTGTGTGCACTTCTTGAACTATAACATGCTTGTTCCTGACACTATATCACAGAAGTTTACTTAATTAAACACAAATTTCAATAGATAAATCAACAAGTAAAATTAAAAGACAAAACATGAAACACCGTCACATTTCACTTTGCATGACATTTGATAAATGACATTTACTTATTTTTTTTATATTTTCCCATTAGGAGGCAAAAGAAACTGAATTGATACAGCCAAATTCTTAGTTTCTGATAATGCGGATGTATTGAAAGGTGATGTAACTCATCCCGATCTCTTATATTATTTAGCTGTTGCAAAGATATACTTTTCAAATTGCTTTAAAATATTAGTAGGATAATCTACGACAACAGTGGATAGAAAAAACAATAAAAGGACAAACGCCTGTCAAAACAGCAGTTTGCATAATGAACTCTAACTGCGGATAGGTCCTCCCAGGGATAGTTTGCATTGACGGATCAAAGATTCAAACCAAAGTTTGATTATTGAAACGTTTTTAGCAATCTAAAGATTAAAAATTGAAGGTAAGATTGGAGTTTTCGGATTAAGATTCAATATAGGGATTGCCCTTTAGAAAAAGTCACATTTATCCATCTTTTACTTCAGTATATTCTCGAATTGCTCTTATTATACAAATATAAACTTATATTAATCAACCAAACATCTTCTTGACTACATCAGTATAATTTTTGTTAATTTTCTCTATAATAGGTCTAAGAGATTTTGCTTTCTGTTGAGATGCTTTATCAGACGGGTCTAGCTTAAGAGCATGCTGTATATCTGCCCAGGCCTCCTCATATAGTTGCAAACCAGTATATGAAGTACACCTTCTGTAAAGAGCTTTTGTGTTTTCAGGGTCATACTGAATGGCACGGTTGCACAGCTGTAGAGCTGGCTCATACTCATTATATTGCAGCTGTATATATGCCAAATTGTTGTAAAGCTTCACCTGAAATTAAAAAAAGAAATAATTATAATATTTTCTTTGAGTAAGCAAGGCCAGCATACACATAATGTAACTAGTCTCCTCAGCAAATATTATTAGAATTCTAGCATATTACACAAAATGTAGCTCTAGAGTGTTGCCATGTGTGATCCGGCCGCTAAATGTCCTGATTTATCAAAAAATTAAATTTATGTAATTAATATAATACTTTACTTACACTAGTAGTTTAAAATTTAATTTTTAATTTAAACCCAGACTGAAAAACCCCTTGTTTTTTGTTTACTGTCCCCATCTGCAACCCTAAATCTCGAATTTTTTGACCTCATGTACCTATTTAAAACTAATTGGACCTGGCAACACTAGTCATGAGTCACAGCTATATGAAATATTATCCTCTCTCAAACTTTTCATACCTACATAAATAATATGCATTCAGCAAAATACTTTTGTAAAAATACTTTCAAAACTAGTTGTTTATCATCACTGTATTCATATTTTATTTACCTTCAAAGCAATCATTTCCTTGATTGTTTCTTCTTCGATGACATCAGGGTCTACTGGCTCTATTGCTATTAAAAATTTGAGGGCTTTATTGAATCTTCTAAATGCATCAGCAAGTCTTTTTTGTTTCACCAGTTCTACACCTCTTTCCTAAAAAAATATTACCAGGATCAATATACAGATAAGAGATATAAGTAAATATATTTGCAGATTGTTTCAAGTAAGATAGAAGTGCAACTTAATTTAGGTACAAAAATATTTTTTAAACAGTACCTATAACACTTATAATTGTTGAATTAAAGTGTGATCATTAAATTTTTGTTCAGGTACTTGAATAAATTCACAATGTAAACAAATATTTTAAACAAGAACATAAAGTAGTTTAAGTATTCATAATTTAAAAAATTCAGATTTTCAATCTACAACAAAGATTTAATAACTTCTTATTTAAATTTACACAATGTGTCAACATTTTACTTAGGGACATAATTGAATAGGTCCGTATTTAAGAGAAAAATATCTTCACATAGTTATTTTTTTGTAGTGTCTGCTGTCGGTCGCGGATGACCTTTACAGCATCACCAGATTTGGGGATGGCGAGATCCTAGGGGTCCTCAAGCCGACAATTGGCGAGTGCCTCTACAGTTATTCCAGGCAGATGGCATCTCCCCACAAGGGGAATCTCCTATCAGTCTGGAGCCTCTAAACCACTCGGATCTCAAGGGGTTATCTACACATAGTATATATTTATAATGGCCATTTGTAAATAGCAAAGAAGTTTTGAAGCACATTGCTCAATGAACAGAGCATAGACGTTGATCATGGAAACTATATGCTGTTTATTAGTACTACGTACTATTCCTTTCTACCAACACCAATGTATCGACAATGCAATAAACTTACTTTGTGGTGTAAAGCTGATTCATATAATCTCTGCCAACCCCAGTCACTGACCAGTTGTTCATCTGTCACTTCCTTCAGCTCAATATTACACTTGATCTCTTTCACGAGCACACCCTCACTGTCTCTATATAATAAACTAGCCTCACAAGTCTCACCACAGCACATCTGCTGCAAAATCAACTCGAAGTCTTTGTCGATAAAGTTGTCACTATCGCCAATCAGCACATTCCCATCAAATTCTTTACTAAATATTCTGCTCTCTGGCTCTATTTCACATTTTCCTAATGAATTGGTGCACGTTACATGCGATAAAACAATTTTGCAGCGAGAATCTTCGTATGGTACTAATGTGTAGTCGCCGGGTGTGATAATTTTCTTTTTGATTTCCCTGTCCGGCCTAGAGCTTACGACTCTCTCTTTCTCCATTTCAAATTGGAGAGTTTAATAAGTTGCAATCCTAGAATAATATCTAGTTTGTTCGTTAAAATAAACAAACTCAGCAAATTTCTAGAAAGTTTTATTTGTACTGGAGCACTGAGCAAGTAATGCATGCACTGGCCACACCACAAGACCACAACACAACACCACCACAGATTACTAAAGCGGGCTACTATACTAACATCCCTGCCACAGGCAGGGGCAATACGGGTGTAAGAGTTTGTCCCTTAATTGCCTCCTAAATTGTGATGTGTGTAGGCAAGCAGGGGCAATCCCTTGGTTCCTAGATTGTCCCTGCCGCTGTGCACGTTGCCGCGTGTGTTCTGCTAACTAATTATACTTTTATTTTTTTATGGAAATATGTAATATAAAACTGATTATATTAAGTTTATATTTTCTATTAATTAAATTTATTATTAATATTAAATTTATGTTTTTATTTATTTTTAAGCATTTAACTGCTAGATGTTCAAATCTAAAGAAAAGTTTACTAGAAAAAAATCCACGCGGACCAGGCAGCGGATGGGACTCGAACCCGCACCCTTCGCATTCCGGGCGAATGCACTGACCATTATGCTACCACGGCCTTATTCGCCGCGTCGAAATTTTCCTAGCCTTAAGCTGCAAGGCAGCGCCATTTCTTCGCATTGTAGGTTGCAACCACGCAACCCACAATGTCAAATGAATACTTTTTCAAGTATTAAACATTTGAAAGAAGAAATAGCAATTATAGTTATGTTTTTATTTATTTATAAGCATTTAACTGCTAGATGTTTAAATCTAAAGAAAAGTTTACTAGAAAAAAATCCACGCGGACCAGGCAGCGGACGGGACTCGAACCCGCACCCTTCGCAATCCGGGCGAATGCACTGACCATTATGCTACCACGGCCCTATTCGCCGCGTCGAAATTGTCCTAGCCTTAAGCTGCAAAGCAGCGCCATCTCTTCGCATTGTAGGTAACCCACAATGTCAAATGAATACTTTTTCAAGTATTAAACATTTGAAAGAAGAAATAGCAATTATAGTTATGTTTTTATTTATTTATAAGCATTTAACTGCTAGATGTTTAAATCTAAAGAAAAGTTTACTAGAAAAAAATCCACGCGGACCAGGCAGCGGACGGGACTCGAACCCGCACCCTTCGCAATCCGGGCGAATGCACTGACCATTATGCTACCACGGCCCTATTCGCCGCGTCGAAATTTTCCTAGCCTTAAGCTGCAAAGCAACGCCATCTCTTCGCATTGTAGGTAACCCACAATGTCAAATGAATACTTTTTCAAGTATTAAACATTTGAAAGAAAAAATAGCATTTATAGTTATGTTTTTATTTATTTTTAAGCATTTAACTGCTAGATGTTTAAATCTAAAGAAAAGTTTACTAGAAAAAAATCCACGCGGACCAGAATATAAAATTGTTATTCAGTCATGTATTATTTTCATTTTGACTTGACTATTTTCATTATATTTTTTGACGGTGTAAAATTTACGCAATCATCTTCTTTCATTGTTTGCTTAACATGAAGAACTGCAGAAGCATGTTTATTTGTAAATTAGTTTCTTAGGTCCGTATTTACATTAATTTCTTGCTTTTACAAAAAGTGGCATTTTTGTCATCCTTGGCTCTTGATAGCCAGGATGAAAATTAAGGAACCTCTTCCCACTCTAAGCGATAGCTTTGATCATATTTTATTTTAATTTTTTGCACACGCGATACACCGTTGATAAACAGTGAACCTCCTAATCCAATACAAAGAAAATCCACTCATTTAATTCACTGATACAGCTCTTCGAGATAAAATACCGATTTCGCATGTTTCGGGAGTTCCCCTGAAAAGGGTGCCTAGCACAACAAGAAAAAACCGCACACTAATTGGAAATTGTATTTTTTTTAATGTTTTGCACAACTTTTCAAATAAAACTCATAAATGTCGAAATCTGCTAATATTCTGCTAAAGTTTTTTAGATTCTGCTAAAATCTCTTAACTTTTTTTAATCTGCCACATATTATGCTAAGGCCTAGATTGGGGGTCATATTCTGCTAAAATCGCAGAATTCTGCTAAAAAGAGTCACACTGCAGGCATGTGTGTAGGGGCAAGTCGATATTGCCCCGACCGCCATGCGCCCTAGTTTCACCCTGCGGCAGGGATGTCAGTAGCCCGCTTAATGTTATGTTTTAAATCTACAGATTACAACAAAAATCTTCTTATTAAATTCAAATTGAAATATCTCATGACCCAATTAATTGTCGAAAACAATTTATTACTGGCAGTCACGGACCTGAAAAAAAGACGGACGTAACCTCGTCTTATCTCGAGTGAAGCATGCAAATGGCCGCCGGCTTGTGCGTGATTTGAGGGTTGTCGGGTAAATCATCAATTTCCCTACTTTTTAAATCTCCCAAACTAAAACATTGTTAACATTATGTAATCAAATATATATAATAAAAACGGGATATTTACCACGTGTTTTACTCGTTGTGAGCTCCTGATTTTACAGCAATTTAAACGGTCTATCAAATTAATTTTTAGGAACACCGAGATAGAAAAGAAAGCACTTGTTATGTAAAAAGAACTTTATTGTTTTGTTTAATGTTAGTGTCTTAATATTATGTATGAGGTTAATAACATACATTAATATACATAAATCGCGCAGATTAATGCTTAAAATAAAAATATAATAGTCTAATATTGCTATTTCTTCTTTCAAATGTAAGTATTTCATTCATAGATTGAGTAGGTATTTAAAGACTGACAGAGAGAGGAAAACAGATATCATGCCAATCCTATAACGTAGAAAGAGATGCAACATGATGTACCTTTCGCCTAATAATATATTTTTTGCAAGAGCCGCAGCGCCCTGTCAAGTCGTACTGAGATAAAATTTATTATGAAATTCTGTGAAACTAAGAAAACAATAATGCATATAATAATAATAATGAATAAATAAATAAATAAATATAACACAACACAAATGTGCTTATTACAAACTGAATAAGTATGTGTTATGGTATCCTGTGTTTTAAGCATATCTTGATAAATCGACACTATCACTCGGAATCAAACACCGATACGCACACATGCACAGATATTTTTTTGGAACAGTAGTGATAGGTACTCTGTCTATCTTTACATCCTATATCTATGGTTTCATTTGACATCGTGGTTTACCTACAATGCGAAGAAATGGCACTACCGTGCAGCCTAAGAAATACAAGAAGAAATTCGTCACTATCATTAAGTTCTCGGTAGCATAGCAATTAGTGCATCCACCCAGACAGCAGAAAATGCAGGTTCAAGTCCTGCTTGTAATTTCTTTTGTAATAATTTTGGTTATCGTAATTTAGTTTTAAAAGTTTATTTGTATAGTAGTTCTGTTAACGGGTTTCAACTGTATCTATATATATAAAACTCAAAGGTGACTGACTGACTGACATAGTGATCTATCAACGCACAGCCCAAACCACTGGACAGATCGGGCTGAAATTTGGCATGCAGGTAGATGTTATGACGTAGGCATCCGCTAATAAAGGATTTTGATCAATTCTACCCCCAAGGGGATAAAATAGAGAATGAAAGTTTGTATGAAACTTTGTCAATTTTAAACCGATCGGGCTGAGACTTTGCATGCAGGTATAAGAAAAATCATAGATGAATGTCATTGTGTATAATACAACAATTCAGCTCTACACCGAAGCGAAGCGAGGGCGGACCGCTAGTTTTTAATATTTCTTCTTAACAGGCTCCGGTTTGAACGAAAACCAAACAACGTGTGCACTGCACACAAGTGTTATTTCCTTTGCAGTATCGAATAATTAAAACCCAGTCATCTCTACGGTTTCTATTTCTAGGAAACCTATTAGAAAGAAGACAAGACAATAATTTATATTAAATATTCTATGAATAATATGGCTTCTTTTCTTTTCCTTTTGGCATACGGAACCCTAAAAATTTACGAAATCTTATCTTTCCTAGTCACAAATGCAAGAAATACAAATTTCCCTACTTTTAGGGAAAATTTCCCGTAAATAAAGTAGCCATACAGTTGTATTTTTGTTTACAATTTTCATCCTTGTAAATAAAATATAATATAAAAAAAATATCAAGAATCGTCAATACTTAAGCATAGTAGGTGATTCCTTGTGACTTTTCAAATTTACTCGTATAGTTTTTAATAGATTTCACCACACAAGACGGCATTTTTTTTTAAATATATCGGAGCAATTGAACGTGTGACTGGCGCTGTCACGCGAGTTCAAATGCACAGACTAGTTAGAGATACTACGTATTTCAAATGGCAGCGGATTGTCCGACCTGGTGCATTAGTGTGAGTGTAGGTAGTGTACAACACACGATTTTGTCTGACCTACATGTCATTGTCATGCTTCACAAGATTTGCCTTTGATATTACGTCCGTCTTTTTTTCAGGTCCGTGCTGGCAGTATACTTTAATATTTTTTTGCTTTTGAGGTGACTATTTAGTCACCTCAAAATACTGTTATATTAGTAACAATTTAGGAGCCCGTTTACAAAATTGCGCCGCTGCAGTTTAGGTTATATACGGCCTGTGAGAGTCTAACGAGCGTGATATCGACGCAGCGATGCTCAGTATAGTGAGCTTTACCAAATTGATACCTAATTATGCAATTAGTGGAATAAATACTATAAGTGCAAATATAAAAGAAATTTAATTTGAGGTACTAAGATGGACCCCTACTGTAGCAACGAAGGATTCTAGATAGGAATCTTGAGTGGAGCAAAGGATGCAAGGATAAATTTTTTTTACTATTGTGAGAAAATGAATAAGATATTTTTCATACCCATTGGTTGTGTTTTGGAAGGACAATATGATTTGCATAATTCTGTTTGTTCAACTTTCATTTTTTTTATTCACTCAGTAATTAAATGATTTTTTTTTTCACTGTTATCGCCGAATGAAATCCCTTTTTCGAGTGGTAATGAGAAATAATATTTTATTAAACTACTTGACCGTCACTGAAAGCTTTATATTGAGATAGCACTTCCGTTTCCCGTCGAATTACCATCAGTTTCCGTACTTTTATTCACCTTGTATCCGGTCCAGTGGCGACACCTGGCAGAAGCGCGGCCATTTATGTTTTCCTAAGTTTTGACAGCGCCATAT